ATTAATGGCACGCGTACGCTGATCTGCAGAGCAACTGAGCCCTTAACAGCGCGCTCCGGTAACTAGGTAGGCACGTTCTACACCCTCCATGTCGTTTGCAGTGAACTATAGGCACTAAGCAACGAGTAGGTGAGACACACGCAGGGATAGAAAGAGGGGGTGTAGAGAGATAATGAGAGCAAAGGAAAGAAAGAGAGAGAGAGAGAGAGAGAGAGAGAGAGAGAGAGAGAGAGAGAGAGAGAGCGCGAAGGGGGAGGAAAAGCGATAATGAGAATAAGGGAGAGCGCGAGCGAGGCGAAGAGAGCGAGTGATAGACAGCGAGCGAGCGAGTGAGACAGATACAGCGATGATAGTCGTGAAAGCGGCGACAGATGAGTTCGTCTCAGTGACAGTTCGTGTTGACGTGGTCAACAAGGTAAATACGACTGACCTCGTCTACCTGAATAATGCAAACACTCCTCGTTTATTCGCATCTCGTTAGGTGTCGATTCTTCGTGCGGCTATCAGCGCGATGCGGTGTAAGTAAACTACGGCGTGGATAACAACGACACGTTAATGGACACCTAATGGCCAACACCAAATAAAATGTGGCGACCGTGAAAGGATACAGACTGCAGTTGCATTTTGCTATCGCCGCCAGTCGACGTTTAAATTGCTATATGATGACACTGGGCTTGGTGGATGGCGTGTGCCAGCCAGGCGGCGGCGCTTGGCAGCTGACCATTGCACAAGGATTATGTGCAGTAGCGGGAGCTGTTGCGATGATAAGGGGATTTAATATGGCGGATAAGCCATGTTTGCCACGCGCGGCAGATGCACAGCCGGGTGTTTCCTGGTCAGCATTGGGAATTATACTTTGTTTGACATCGATAAGGGTGTTCTTTTATTAAACCTCTATAATGCAACATCAATATTGAACAGCAAGGCAAGGAGTTTGCCTGGATAGGAGAGTATAGGCAGTGTGGGAGTATAGGTTACGGTCACCATTTTTAACTATTGGGGACTCTACTACGTTTTCACATTTATATCGCACGCACTTTTACACGCGTAATATAGCGACTACTACGTGGCGAGGTAAAACCCTACACCATATTGAGATTTTATCCCCTGCTACAGGCATATAGTCAGCGGAAACTTAAATATGTTCACATAAATGTGTGCATGACACCCGTATAATAATTATATAAACATCGAGTCAATGACCTTAGCTTGTTTCCACAGGAAGGAATTTACCCGTAGACTATTTGAACGGCCATGTATGCGTGCACTCGACTATAGGTGCCCTTAGATAGAAGCAAGCTATTCGAATTTTGCTCATATTTTTACCGGGAGGTAACTGAGTGTTGCCATTTTGTTCAGCAGCTGTGCGCTATTATTACACAATTAATAATTCACATTGTCGCCGCACAAAAAGCGCGTATGTGGTGCGTAACAAATACCGCACATGGTCCCTTGTTGCACTGCACGCCCAAATAATCGTCAGTTAAGTGTGTAAGTGCCCGCTGATCTGTTTTCCCCTGCAGGTATTTCGAGTCACATGGTGTTTGCGGAGACTGTTAGAGACATGGGAGCGCGGCATATGGCCCGCGAGTAAGACAATGACATGATTAGCCAGTTACATTATCAACTTGTATCATCATTGATGTGTAATTTACAGGTTTGCACATAGTGAGTAAGGTAAGATATGGTAATTGTTTTTTTTAACTGCCACCAATGTTTTACTGTTATCAATCTCTAACAGCATCGCAGAAAAAACATGACCGAGACAATTATAACTAAAAATAAAACATAGGGGTAGATAACAGGAAAATGATCCACATCAAACAGAAAGTAAGCGAGGAAGAGGCGATATAAATTAGCGCAAAAGACAATCAGTATAAATGGAGATGGACATTAAGCGAACCAAAATCAGTAATACCGGGATAGATCCGTAAACGAGCACCACATGTTACACGAGCAAAGTACAAGACCTGCGAAATGCAATTATTGTAACTGTTTAACATTTAAGCATCCTATTTAATTTCACTGTGACAGGCAATAGATTACATATAAACAGGGGTGATTTGTTTGTCAACAAATTTATCATTACTCACCCCTGATATAAAGGAAGTCGTCACAACAACCAACTGAATGCGGTTTAAATGATGCCAGTCTATCAGTGCTAAGCGCGGTCGGTCGCCCGGATTACGTGCCCGACGCACGGCAGCACGGCGCACGTCAAAGCTATGACAAATTAGATGTTATAACCTTGAGCCGGAAATGCCTCGCCAAATTTGACAAGAGATCGAGTGACTCCACAAGCGACTACTATTTAATCAGCACACGATATGACTAGACCGTAGGCCTATATGCCAATCGTAGGGTCGGATTGAGCTCGAACTTGTCAATGCCTTTTTTAAATAATTTTCTTTTTTGCGACAGCTTTACACCTCACCTGCATTCTCGAGCACGTATGTGGCACGTGTGACGAGATAATCTAAGCCCTAGCTCACACGGTGGCACATCGATGGCAAGTACAACACGATAATCAACACTTGATAAATAAGTTAAATGTAATTTACAAACACCTGATGCTTCTCCCACGACTCGGGAGACTGCACGCGCATCGTTATCATACATCGTAGATTACGACGATAAACGGCTGGATGTTAACACTACATCATCGTGCTCGTATATCAGCAGTCATGCGCCGCCAGGTAGCCGAAGTGTGTGCCATTTTAAACAATAACACATAGTTTACGCCCTGTCGATGACGATTTGTTCAATATCATCTCGTGGATAATAGTATCGTTGATAAGTGATTAATGTTAATATTGATTAATATTAAATGGGTGGGGAACGGAAGGGCAATGGGAAAGAGTTAAGGTCCGGTAAAGAGTGCGTGGAGTCATGTGTGATCGTCGATACCTTTGCGCTCTTCATAGAAACGCGAATTTCTGTCTGCACATGAAAAGCATGTGTGAGTATACGCTTCCGCCATATATAATAAGCTTCTATTCTACGCACAGGCTAATCAATATTTGCTGGGAAACTAGCAGTTGCTGCCCACATTTGAAATCCTCATTACCATGTTTTTCTTTTCAAGCGGGGTAGTTTTTCGCGGTCTAATCCTCCATAGAAAAAAATCCCCGCAATATTTTTCTTTGTTTGCCGTGACATGAATCACTAAAAACGAGGTGAAACGACGGCGACAGCAAGTGCACACGATCACATCACGCAAACGTGTAGCAACCAGTAAATGAGTTGGTCAACAATTTGCTAACAACATAATGCGCAGAACACGCGATTTATTAAAATTACTCTACCCACAAGCTTAGTACGCACCAAATTATAATCATAAGTGAAATTCAATTAAATTTAAACCTTGAATTGTTGTTCACGCGTATTTAATATGGTGCCGGTAACGCGAAAGAAAGGAAAGAATCGGCGAATCCAATTACTCGTGCATTATATTGTTTCCGCGATCGATCAGTGCCGTGATTGGCTGCACGCGCCGGCCGGTCGCCGCTGTGTACCGACTCACTCGTGAGGTCGCGCGACCATCCGAGTGCGCGAGGCGAGCCGCTCGTGTTTACCGAGTGATAAACATATTGTTTACTAATTGCATAAATATACTGGTGATCGGTGAGGCGCGATGGCACTCCTCGTGGCGCACGTGGCTCGCATCGCGCCGCAAACAGACGCGAGGGAGCGATAGAGAGACAAGTGCTGTGCGCGTATTACACCAACGACAGCCGCGCGATGTGTGCATGTTTGCACGATCATAGACGATACGCACCCCGGCCGCCCACCGCTCTTTCTCTCTTTCTCCCTTTCTTCGTGTTCTTGACGAGTGTCGAGCTAAAAGAGTGTTAATTTCTTTCTTTACGCCGAATCAAGCCTCTTTGTCGACCGCAGCGGCAAACTCGCACCTGTTTTGTCTCACACGTGTAGCAGAAAGTTATAGCTGCCGCGGGCACGCGTTCACTATGCTTGCCCTGGTTTTCCGTGTTGAACGAGTATCACGAGAGATATTGACAGGTAAATAATTAGCGTGCATGAAAACTACAATTACGCGCTTGTTTACGAGTCCAATAATTACCAGCAACGCTGCAGAGCGCAAAGACTACACACGATCACTACACGATCGTGTTTTTTCTCTCTGTTCTTTGCCTTCTTATTTTTTCTGGTCTTCTGGTCCCTATCTTCCATGGTAAAAAATATAATGGCTACTTACTTACTCATATTATCTAGATAAGCGATCGTGCCATCATCAGGTAAAGCGACTTATCTATATTGCAATTGTAGCCAACAAGACCGAGCCTATTAATAGCTTGGCTGAGAAGAAGATAGTAGATACCTGACTAATCTGACTACACACACTTTTGTTTTTCACTGTTTATTCTAGTAGCACGAAAGTGGTTACAAAGGATATATTTTTCGGATTTCGGGCAGTGAACACTCAACACCCGATGTATCGTCAACGAATTAGTATAACAGCAATGCGTAACATACACAATTCTACAATGTTTCCGAGCCGGCTTTTTATGTAGCCGGGTTTTACATAAAAACCCGACGTGCAGATATCAGCTATGGCAAATACTAAAGTTACGATACAAAATCGCATGCACTAGTCGCGGCCGGGATAAACCTCATACGCAGCGTCGTATTCGCTGGATAATCAAACATCAGCTGGAAGTGTGGGTCTACGTATGCACACGCCTTGACGCACGGCCAGTGATTGGGCGCGTGCCACGTGCGGCACGTGATTGGCCTGTCGCGTGCCGCGCTGCTCGGCCGCGAGTCGCGCGTAGCGCTCACTCCCGTGCGCGGAAACCCTTCGCTACTGCTCCGATCTGATAAAGAGCACGTGCACCGACTCTCGCCGCACACTTGCCATTAGCTGTCTCGAACCTCGATAGAGCTAACTAGAACAGTCATCGGCCAGTGTTTTCTCTCTCTGTTTCTTTTTCACAGACACACACACACTCCCTCTCTCTCTCTCTCTCTCTCTCTCTCTCTCTCTCTCTCTCTCTTTCTCTCTTTCACACACACGCATACACACACACTCTCTCTCTCTCTCTGGTGGCAATCAATGTTGGCGGCGTGTGGGTAGCATCAAGCAGCCATCCGCGCAGGAGAACCGCGTCGCTTAGACACACGCCGACGGCCACCGATACGCTGGGTATGGATACGCTGAATCTTGACGGTCTCGGCCGCCAGTTTCTCGACGACTTCGACGTCAGTCCCGAGAGCTACGCGAGCAGCTTCGAATCGCCAACGTCGTCGCCGTACTCGCTGCACCGCGATCAGGAGAACCTGACGCTGAAGCAGCGACGGCGCAAGAAGCGCTGTCCCGACCAGCTGGTGCACCAACGACAGGCGGCGAACCAGCGCGAGCGGAAGCGAATGCTGTCGATCAACGACGCCTTCGAGGGATTGCGAACGCACATTCCGACGCTGCCCTACGAGAAGAGACTGTCGAAAGTCGACACGCTGCGACTGGCGATCGGATACATCGGGTTTCTCGCGGAACTAGTCGATACGAACGGGCAGGGCTCGCCGGACAGTCCGCAGAACAACCAGCCGCAGCCGCAGCAGAAGGTCATTATTCAATGTCACCGAGGTGAGAAGCACAACATGTGATATGTAATGCTTATACATGATATTCACTTCGCTAGTCATGTCTATTGCTTGTTGTCTTTCTCTTCCCTCTAATGTTATCTCGTTCTCCCAAATATTCACGCACCAAGGCAGGCGCGCGTACACTACACGCCTCTGCTTTTATGTTTATATGTATTTCATGTATATTTAGTAGTCTTTCGTCATTGTTATTTATCTCTCTGGCTAGTTAGCTATATATATATATA